GTAGTGAACTAACTGGGTTTTTGTTACTTCATGAACACTGCAACCAATGACTGACATCCAAGTACAGTGTATTAAAGTGAAAATTACAAGTTTAGCTTTGAAATGATGTCAACATAAAAACACCATGTTTATGTAACACTGTGTTCATCAGTATTCTCACTTGCAAATGTGCTTTATTTCTCTTTCTACTCACTGATGGGGGCTCCTCTAGCCCTTGCATTTGGGCAGGAGCAAGGAGGTACTCATTTGGTGACGCCTCTAATTTGAGATTAGGGAGCCATTCAGCTGCAGGCTGCCAGCCTGTATGAACACTCAGTGACTATTGAATGGTGGTAATTGCAGGACCCTTAGTTCTCTCCAGGTCTCTGGCATTTCGTTTCAGTGTCTGTTTTTATTGAAGAAACAGCCTCAGATATTTCCAGTCACAGTTGTGTTTTACACCTGAATCTTAATTATCTTGCCCGGGTATACATTTTGCCATGTGCTGTAGCTGCTTACAAATTTCAGGCTAACTGGAGAAGCTGCTCTAAACATCCTCAGTGGGACAATAAAAGGGAATTGGGTGTTCCCACGGTAAACCCTGCTCATGCTTTCAGCTCCAGGTCGAGCCTTCAAGTCTCATCAGACTCTGGTATTAGTCACTTATGTAGCAGATTTCACTCACTAAGTAACTTGAATCAGCCAGCGTCTTTGGATCTTCAGAATTTTATAGAGATGGCAGCCTCTAGGCTTCAGGCCACATTTGTAGTCTCTAGATTTTAATATAAATGGCCATTTTCTTGCTTTTTCAATGATGCTTATGATATTTGAGGGCTGAAAAAGATCTTGAAACACCAATTTAGTCCATTCTTTTGGGGGAACTTTATGCAGTTTCTTTTCGGTGAGAATTATTGTTTAATATGAAATTTGTTGGGTGAATAGTTCATGGCCAAAGTAATACTACAGAAATGTCCTAAATAGAAATGAGGACATATCTATACTCTGAGTTGGTTAGGCCTGCCACTCAACCCTTCTGTCAGTCACATTGTTAGTTGTGCTGGGGTTTCCATTCATCTGTCATCTGATGTGATGTAACAGTGTTCAGGGGACTGTGTATGGTGTATTTTAGTCAAGACATTTTTGACTGAGCATTAGCTAAGTAACTTAAGACAAAAAGGGAAGAAGCCAGACTGAAGATGGACTCTTCTGCATGCTTCCTGGCCTGGCCTTGTCAATAAATTGACACACTGTAAAGAGCTTGTGCTGGTTTCAATGATGTAGGATATCGAGCAGATAAAATACGTTGGGACTTGCTGTAAGAAACAAGCTGTAAAAGAATTTGTTTTGGAGGAGTGAAGCTAGAAGTAGTCTGGCCTGGGTGTGGTGGCACATGCCTGTGGCACATGCCCTTGGGAGGCTGAAGCATCCAAATTTGAGAACCTGAGCTGCATGATAAGATTCTCTGAGAAACAGAACAGAACCAACCCTTCCAATAGTGTGTGTGTGTATGTGTGTGTGTGTGTGTGTGTGTAGAAAATGAAAGGTAGAACATGCTAACTTCATAAAATTGGCTACCAAAAATAAAGTGTATAAATATAACTAAGGAATGAACTGGGGATATCCGCATTATGGTACTCCCTCTGGGATGTGTAGAGGAATTTTAATCCAGCAACATAACCGCTATGGCAAGGGATCACACCCAAAGACTAGGTCTGTGTGATCCAGCTGGAATACAGACATGCCCTTAGTACATACCTTTAATGGAAAACAATGATGTCTAATTGAGGGGCAGACAAAGATATGAATCAGAAAAATATTTGATACAATGAGTCAGAGATAGGATATGCTCAACTCTCATGAGAACTGACAGGAAAGAGAAGCTGCTTAAGAGCAGCACAGAGTAGAGTATGAGAGAGGATGGAGGAGGAGAGTACGTTGCGGGAATACAGTGGCGTTCATGGAGGCAGTACATTAAGGAGTACAGTACAATTTGGTCCAGTTTGGTGCAGTTCAGTTGAGTGCAGTTGAGTTCATGGAGTTCAGAAGCAGTCTCCTTCCTTCCTTCCTTCCTTCCTTCCTTCCTTCCTTCCTTCCTTCCTTCCT